GGTTAATGGTAGGAATATTAGGATTGTAAGACAAGGATAGAAAACTTTTGTAGAGGAGGTAGCTAAGAAAGCTAGGAAGTGGTAAATGTACAGGTATCTAAATTCTGAAAATACTGCAATATTTAGTGATATCAAAGGTTCGGGGAGCAAGTAGGGGTATAGAAAACAAAATGGAATAGAAGACAAGGATATTCAGGCTGAAGATCTCAAGGAATCAGGGATAAAGTGCTGAAAAGCTCCATCATGGCGGGGATGCTCTGACCCAGCAGGGAGAAAGATTAAGCCAGGATGTGAACTCTTCATTTATTTATTTTTTGGTACCAGGATTGAACTCAGGGGCACTCGACCACATCCCCAGCCATATTGTATATTTTATTTAGAGACAGGGTCTCACTGAGTTGCTTAGCACATCACTTTTGCTGAGGCTGGCTTTAAACTCACGATCCTCCTGCCTCAGCCTCCTGAGCCACTGGGAAGGATTACAGCATGAGCCACCACATCCGGAAGGATGTGAACTCTTTGATGCCTAGGACAATGCCAATCATAAGGGGGAGAGGACAGAGGCAAAAGCTTCTAAGAAGAGAGATCACAGGATTTCCTAGAGGGTCAATGTCTACTAGAGAGGCTGTGGCAAGAGGATTATAAGAAAGTCATAAGGAGGTCACCAACCCTACTTCTGGTGCTGATGCACAAAGGAAAAGGGCGAGGGTAAGAACACAGCCTCCATTTTAAAAGTTATACAACAACAACACACACACACACACACACACACACACACACACACAAAGTTATACCACAGCCTGGTGTAGTGGCACGTTCCTGTAATTCTAGCTACTCACGGAGGCTGAGGCAGAGGGATTGAAAATTTGAGGCCAGCCCCAGCAACTTAGCAACACCACACCTTTTTAAAGAATTATATAGGGCTGAGATGTACCTCAATAGCAAAGCACTTGCCTAGCATGCATATGGCCCTGGGTTCCATCCCTGATGCTGAGGCAGGTGTGTAGGTGGAAAGGTTATATGACAGTCATATCCTCAGGGAATAACCCAGTTTTAAAATGGAATCAGGAGATGGTTAAGACACAGAGGTTCACTGACCACAAAGCAGATGTTCTGGAGGTGATGAAAAGTTAAAAAGTACAAGAAAGATATGGTTTAACGAGGGAATGCACAGCAGCAGGAGATGAGCAGTCTAGTGGTAGGAATGACTAGAAAGGCTGGGGAAGCAGCTCACAAGGCACCACAGGATTCATCCAGAGCATCTATAGAGGCAGGTGGGTGGACATAGGTCCTTTGCTACAACCTTGAATGCTTATATCGGTGTTAACTGCAAGAGGCTAGGAAGTAGGACTGTTCCTAATTGTGAAACACACGCAAGGAGGTACAGCACAGGGCCTGGCACTTTCTAAATGCCCAATAAGTGTGTGTGAGTGAATCATTTGGGAAAGACTCAGCCAGTTCCCATTTTCTCCCCCATCTGGCCACAAGCCCCAAGGCCTCTACCAAGGAACAGGTTTTTAATTTACTATAAGTCTCCCTCACCACAGAGAGCCACTCAGACACCAGTACAAGTCATCACCCACCAGGGGTTTAATTCTCCTAGGACAAAAGGTCAGTTCAAGAGGGTCCTGCCTTGTCCCCATCCAGGGGTAAAGATCTGCAGGGCACCCTGGGAATGTCCAAGCCCAGAGGAGCCTGGGAGTAGTCCCTGAGCAAGTGGAAAAGTGGATCCCAGAGTCTCAGGCCACCTCTTCCTCTTCACTCTCCTCCTCACTCTCATGATACTGTCTGCGATTGGTGTTAACAAAGAGGTCAGAATCATCTTCAGAGGCAGACTCTTCTCCTGATGACTGTGGCTCAGCTGGGAGTTCTGGCTGAGTCTGTCTGCATGGAGGAAGCAGAAAGAGTCAGCCCAATACCTACTAGGAAAATCAAATCTGCAACCAAGGAGTCCCCAAAAAGGAGGATCATTTGGCCAAGCAGTCACGACACACAGGTGTTTAAAAATGCAGCAGTTCCAGAGAGAGAGAGAGAGAGAGAGAGAGAGAGAGAGAGAGAGAGAGAGAGAGAGAGAGAGAGAGAGAGAGAGAGAGAGAGAGAGAGAGAGAGAGAGAGAGAGAAAGCAGCAGTTCCTTAAAAAACACAAGGAGAGACAGAGAGTCAGAGAGCCAATAGTGGGAAAACAAACACTGTCCCCCACCCAAAAAGTTTACTACAGCCATTAGTTTCAGTTAGGAATCAAAACAATTCTACTAACATTTATTAGGCCCATATTCCACGCCAGGTACCGTACTAAGCAACTTTATAAGCAATAGCTCCTTCTTACAAAGCTCCTACCTTATACATGAGAAAACAATCTTAAAAGACTAAGTAACACGCCTAAAGTAACTTAACTATAAATGGCAAAGGTAGGAATTTAACCCAGGGCATCTAACTTTCAAGCCATATTCACAACCACATGTTCTGCCACATGTTTAGGAACTCTCACCAGGTATCCTACAAAGAGAGAAATGTAGGCTCTACTTTCTCCAGACAAAGGTAAAAACCCTATTTTCTCTTCCCTACACTAGGGTGTGCTCCTCACCTGTTCCTGTTGTGTTTCTCAGCCACTTCAGAGAAGGCCTCAGGCCTGTGCCAAGAGAAGAGCCAGGTCAGAGAGGATAGAGAAACCTCTCAGCAAAAGAGTTGTTTCCAGCTGTTCCTGCCAGGGATGCCACATTCTTCCCTCTCCCAATTCCCTAGCTAGGAAGTCAGTGTCCCCCAGAAACCACAAAGCTAAGGATCAGGGGCATCCTACCAGAGGCCCTCCTTCTGCAGAGAGCGCACATGGTCCTTGCAGAGAACAAAGGAGATCTCAGCCTTCACCTTTTCTCCCTCTTCAATGGGGTCAACGATGAGAAAGTCCCCTGTAGGCAAGAAAAGGCAAAGTCAGCCATGCTTGCAATGGGGAGCCAGGACCACAGGAAATGATTCTGTCTCCTAGAAGGCTGTCTTTCTCACCTCTCTTAATCCAGATGTTCTTGCGGTATTTGGATGGCATGCTCACCAGGAAGCGTTGCCCTTGGGCTGTCTCCACCTCATGCAGATTATTCCCTGGTGTCCTGAGTACCTGGTCCAAGAAAGACCAAGAGACAGCTTTATCAGTCACAAACACCCTCTGATCTGCAATGCACCCTACTCCCACCCCAGGGGTCCTATGGAGTGGAGGGGTTGGGAGCAGAGCAGCCTGTGCCCAGTGCCGCTCACCCTCACGATCTGTTGCTGGTCAGAGGGCACCATGTGCTCCCCCAGCACCTCCTTCACCACATGCTTCCTCTTGGTGGCCTGTGACATGCTGGGTCCTGTCCCAGGGTGGTTAGGAACAGCTCCTCCTCTGAAGTTATTTTGATGACAGTTTCAGAAGCCAGGCTGTATGAAGATATGAAGATGGGAGGGGCCATTTACTGGAGAGCATC